GGATGGTTTGCTAGCTTCATGCACGTGAAGCCAGACGTGATATTCGGCTGGCTATCGACCAAAGGGCGAGTGTACTGCTCATCAGTCCGCTCCGTCCTCCTTTATGGCCAGCTGTGAGACATGGCCATTGAGAGTGAAAGACATGAAAAGGCTGGCTAGCTGTCTTCGATCATAGGTGCCTGAGTTCTATCTCCCGAGCTAATTGGTATAATGGGGTGAGCAGTATTGAGGTTATGCTTCGGTCGAGTGCTAGCTAGGTAGGTGGGAGGGGAAATCAATCGATGAGGCTGTGAAATTACATCGACTGAGATGGTTAGGACATGTGTTACGCCTACATGCCTAGACATCGCTTTCATCGAAAGACATATACCCCCAAGACAACCTATCAAACAAAAAGCCCCCAAGGAAAGCACAAAGAAAATCGTCTTTACCATATATAAAGGATATCTCAGAAATCACTACACGACTCTTCAAACCTTTAGGCATTAACCTCGTACACAAACCAACAAAATCACTTCACTCATTTCTATGTCAACGAAAAGACTCAACAGCGAAAGTAGATAAAACCAACATCATATACAAAATAAATTATAACAACTGCGAAAAACACTACATTGGCCAAAGTGGACGTCCCCTTCCTTTCCGTATCCACGAACATAAGCTAGCCGTCAAAAGACATGATATCCACTCCCTCATATCACTACACACAGAAAACCACGGACATCAATTCGACTGGGACAACATTCAAATATTAGACAAAGGAAATAACAAGAATGCTAGAGAATTTTTAGAAGCTTGGCTTTTATTCCAGTGGATCATCAATCAATAGACACATCGAGATAGACAAAATTTATCAACCAATAAGAAAGAAACTTCACACACATTTTTTAAGGGTCAAAGTTCAAGTCAAAGAAACAACCGGTTCCAATACAAGTAACCTAGAAGGTGTGAAAACACACAAAAACAACTTTTTTTGTCCAAGGTCACCGAGAAGAGATGATTGATAAACTCGTGGAGAAATCTAAAAGCTCACTTCATTTAATTGAAGTATGCGCTGAAGATATCGCCTAGTAGGGCGATGAAAGCTTCGCAAATTAACTATCCAACTCAGAGAACACAACCACCTCATAACCTGAAGGTCCTGGGCTCTAACCGTGGTGGTGGTTTCGTACTGGCGATGATTTCCAAACTGGGATGAAACAGCTGTCCAGTACTCTCTAGTGGTTTTCAATGGTTCTCTAACTGATATCAATCCGTGATCAAACTCGTGAAAAACAAAACTAACTTTTACAAACCAACAATAGAAAATGCAGTTAATGAAAACAATTGTTTGCTCAATAAATCATGTTTTCTCATATATATAGGTTCACATGTTCACTAAACTGCTAAAAATACAAAACATGTTATCATTTCCCAGTTGTGGCATCGTCAAGGTGATCAACAACACCAACTAACTACTCTAATGATGATTAACTATATATAGCTTGCTTAAAAATAGATGTCAAAAACAATTAATTAGTTTGCACACCCATAGGCACAGAGATCACACACACACACATCCATACATAAACACACAGGCATTTTTAATGTATGAAAATAAAATGTATCGATTAACAGCTTTACTGCTATAATTATAACATATATATGGATATGCTTGCCTAACAGTATTATGTAGAGGTGAATGTGAATGTGGTGAAAGCATATTCTCGATTAAACAAATACACTATCCTAGTCGGATAATAATAATAATAATAGTGTTAAATGCATAAACAATCGGCATACGCTTATAGGCTGTCATAGAGAAATACTTTTACTAAGTTTAATTCTTCTAAACCCTAGTCAATCACTCAATACCCAACGTCGTATCTTATTACTGATGGATGCCAACAGAAACATAATTTGAAATGACTTTTTCCATTATTATTATTATTATTATTATTATTATATTATTATTATTTCCTTTAATTCCTAGAGGAACATAAGGCTTCAGCTGCCCAAGTCTCCATTGCCTTCGGTTATCTCCCAACATTTTTATTCCCTCGCTCCACGTCTGCCAAAACGCTTTCGTCTCTTCTTCACATGACCTCCTCCAAGTCACTCTTGCACTGACGACCAACTCGCCGCTTCCATTCGAGCGATGGCTTGTCTAGTGATGTCACTTGATGGTTTGTTTTCTCAGATTATGGCCAGCCAATCCATCCCCATTTCTTCCTGCCTATTTGTTTCACAATCGGTTCCTGGTTGGGTCGCTCATTGACAGAGATCCCAACCCGTTGCTGATCTTTTCCGGCCATCTAATTTTGAGTAGTATTGAGTGAAGACAGTTGTTGATGAAGGTGTGTAGTTTGTTTGAGGTGCTCTTTATGACGCGCCAAGTCTCTGATCCGTATAGTGAGTAGTACTAACTGACTTCACATTAGAGTTGAAAATCCGGATGTTATTTTTGATTCAGAGTGCTGTTTACTTATCTCCATACAGACTTGAGATTAATGAAAGCTTGTCTTGCTTTTCCGATTCTGGCTTTGATATCCTCTTCAGTTCCACCTGTAGTTGAAACGGTGCTTCCCAGGTAGGTAGGTAGGTAGGTAAAGGAGGTTGTTTCTTTCAGGTTCCTCCCATTTATGCTGGCTGATTGTTGTCTGTTGTTGTTGTTGCTTTGCTGTTGGTGTTGGCCAGGAATCTTCACCACCTCTGTTTTACCTATGTTCACTTGAGGTGAAGTCCTATCTGTGATGCTTCTTCTGTCAACTTGTTGCTTTTCACTTGCATATCTTCCAGTTTGTGGGAAATCAGACATATATCATCGGTGAAGTCCAGATCCTCCAAGTTTTTTGTTTGGGTCCATTTTATGCCTGTTTCCTCATTGCCCGTCGCTGTCTGTCACATTATCCAATCTACCACAATCAGGAAAATCATTGGAGATAGTAGGCAACTTTGCCTTACTCCCGTCTTCACTTCGAAGGATTCTGTGAGTTTCCCATTGTGGATTACTTGACATGCAGCATTGTCGTACAACTGTTGGATGGGATGTATAGTCGTCGATGGGACCCCACAGTAGTAGCGAAGTAGTTGCCAAATCACCTTTCGATCGACGCTGTCGAAGGCCTTCTCAAAGTCGATGAAGTTGAGATAGAGGGGTGACTCCCATTCCATGCTTTGTTCAATGATGATTCGTAGTGTGGCGATTTGATCAATACATTACTTCTTACATAGTCATGAATAATCCCCATCCAGATAGTAGCGAAAACAAAACACCTAGAGGCTGTTTACGGAGAATTCATTTTCCTCTTCAGCTGCACAACTGGACTTATATACAATCTCATTTTCCATGGAAGAGGGAGGGTAGTAACAAAAGTGATGTGTTGTCATAATCACATTGGTTAATATTAGCCAATGCATAAGATGAGTTGAATAAGTGTACTAGGGTAACTTAATAAGTTGGATGATTGATTGATTAAGTTGTAGTGGGGAGTGAATTAACAGCATGTCAACAGTGGGAATTCCAACTTCATGAACGTTTCCTCCTTCAAAGTAATCTACAAACTGAAGAATAACCTGCTCCTTTGTATTGCTGAAACTTAAGCCATTCAGTTAGAGAAACAAGAGCTATGCATACAAAAGAAAATTATTATTCATCCACTTCTACTATCATGGTAACAAACTTGTTGGTTTCTACTGCCCTAACCCCGAACCCTACAACAAATATGAAAGAACAACAATTGTACCAGGATAACATGAGCTCATCTGCTTTATTATTTCGAGGATTCTTCTCAACTGGTGGTTACGACCTGAACGATAAAAAATATGAATTACATTAAAGATTTGAACATACTTTTCCACGATCACAAGGATTAATTGTACTGCCCTGGTGATAACAAAATATAAAAATTCGTGACCAGTAGGTTGCAGCAGGTCGGGTGTGAGGACAAATACTCGCCATCGAAGACACTGGCTAGCGGTTGCGCTATATCGTGAATTGGCAGAAGTTACAATTCATGCACTGGTCATTGGATCGGGTCCCAGTGGGTTAATGGTATACGAGCTCGCCTTGTAACCAGAAGGTCCTGGGTTCAAACCCCGGTGGATGCGTACTGCTGAAGAATCCCAAACTAGGGCGAAACAGCTGTCCAGTACTCCCAGGTTTCTCCAATGGTTCCCTTACTGATGTCAGCTCATGATGAAATCCTGTGACCAAATATACTCTCTCATCTAAACATGACTTAACCTACTTTGTTCTTTTCTTCTTTTTTTCTATTGGCTTTTAAATAAAACACTTTCTTTAGTTACGTAATCCGCTTTTTTGTTATGCTCTTTCTAGCTAAACTTTGTTTCTATACACACATATATATATATGCAACTGTTTTTCGTTTCCGAGCCTAACTGTCTAATTGTTCTATAAATAGTCAGTGTTTACAACTCTTAATTAGTTAAATCATTCCGGACTAATGTTACTTTTACTTTCTACTAATTACTCCTTATGATCGTGGAAAAGTATGTTCAAATCTTTAATGTAATTCATAATTTTTATCGTTCAGGTTGCAACTAGTTGAGAAGAATCCTTGAAATAATGATGGATGAGCTCATATTATCCTGGTACAATTGTTGTTCTTGCTTTGTTCAAATAGGAAAGAATACAGACTTGTAAATCTACCCCATAAAGACAACCCCATCTTTGGTCAAACTTCAAAGCACAGAAAAAAATAATAATAACATGGTGATGTGTAAATAGATAAACAATAGATTATCCTTTATTGATGATATGGTGATCAAGGTCAGTCCGGAAATAAACCGATCAGAATCGACCGACGCAAAATAACGCCCAATATTTTATCTATCATGATAATAGACTAATTGACATAACCTTGGTGATTTTTTTGTGAAAAATATACTATGGCTGACACTTGAAATATACTTTCGGCTCATGTCGTTGTGTGTTCTCGCTTACGTAGGTGGGACTGGGGAATAGGACAAGGTAAGGTGTCATTAATCTTGACCTAAACGGATATGTTCTGAAAACGAACAAAAGTAGAAACCTGGATAACTGAAATTTTATTTGTGAATAAACTACCAACGTTTCTGCGTGCAGTTAAAGTCACCTTTCCAACAGTTGAGATAGTTGTGACAATCCGTCCCGAAAGAAAAAGAATTTTAAGTGAAAGAAAAAAATTAAACAAAGAAAAACAAATGGAAAAGTGAAGAAAGTCTAACATACCGAAATCCCATTCACTGAAACCTGGAGAGTCAGCACTGTGCCAGTGATCACCTATATGACACATTCCTTGTTGACATGATTCACTTCCTGAGTGTTCTAAACTTTCATCAAAGTCTGATTCAGTGAATGGATTTTGTGATGAGCTGCATACTTTACCATCTGCTCTCCAATGTCTGTTAGCAAGGACACGCCCACGTCGACGATTAAGCAGATAAGCCTTTAAACGCTGTTTAACCTGAAAGAGAGAGAGGAAAGAAAAGGAAAGATTTCGGGTTATGTAAAGAAATGTCTAGCGAATTAACTTTAATATACTCCATTATAAATAATACTAAGTAAATAGTATACGAAAAGCTTATGAAATTAGGCTCGGACATTGGATAATGCGACAGACAGCGACGGACAATTAGGAAACAGGCATAAAATGGACCCAAACAAAAAACTTGGAGGATCTGGACTTCGCCGATGATATATGTCTGACTTCCCACAAACTGGAAGATATACAAGTGAAAAGCAACAAGTTGACAGAAGAAGCATCACAGATAGGACTTCACCTCAAGTGAACATAGGTAAAACAGAGGTGGTGAAGATTCCTGGCCAACACCAACAGCAAAGCAACAACAACAACAGACAACAATCAGCCAGCATAAATGGGAGGAACCTGAAAGAAACAACCTCCTTTACCTACCTACCTACCTACCTACCTACCTACCTACCTGGGAAGCACCGTTTCAACTACAGGTGGAACTGAAGAGGATATCAAAGCCAGAATCGAAAAAGCAAGACAAGCTTTCATTAATCTCAAGTCTGTATGGAGATAAGTAAACAGCACTCTGAATCAAAAATAACATCCGGATTTTCAACTCTAATGTGAAGTCAGTTAGTACTACTCACTATACGGATCAGAGACTTGGCGCGTCATAAAGAGCACCTCAAACAAACTACACACCTTCATCAACAACTGTCTTCACTCAATACTACTCAAAATTAGATGGCCGGAAAAGATCAGCAACGGGTTGGGATCTCTGTCAATGAGCGACCCAACCAGGAACCGATTGTGAAACAAATAGGCAGGAAGAAATGGGGATGGATTGGCTGGCCATAATCTGAGAAAACAAACCATCAAGTGACATCACTAGACAAGCCATCGCTCGAATGGAAGCGGCGAGTTGGTCGTCAGTGCAAGAGTGACTTGGAGGAGGTCATGTGAAGAGAAGATGAAAACATGTGAACAAACTTGGAGTCAGGTGAAAACTCTAGCAGAGAATCCAGTAGAGTCGCGCAGCTGAAGCCCTATGTTCCTCTAGGAATTAAGGGTAATAATAATAATATTCCACCACAGTCAAAATATTCTAGATGTCGGTGAAGAATTGATGGATTTTAAAGTAGACTGCCACAGAAAACCGAGTAGCACAGAAAAGCATGAAACTTAGATCGAGCAAGGCTTCCAAGCCTATTACTCCACACATGCTATTTGCAAACTCGACTGATAAAATTCAATCTGCACAAACACCAAGGACTAGACGCATGACAATAGTTACTTACTACCTACGTAGTGTTCAATCAAAGTATCCATTACAGTCCCACAGAGAGATAATCGTGAGCCCGAATAGAAGCAATGGGTAACCCAGGTTCAAACCTCAGAAGGGATATGAGTTGTTCTTTCGAAATTGCAGATACGCTTTTCTGACTGGTGAGTGCCAACAAGCACGAAACCTACGTCGAGCAAGGCTTCCTACCCACTCCTGTGCCTAACTACCTAACAACAGATAGCTATTGATCCCATTTTAAGACTACCCAGCAATGCTCACGCAGAATAAAAATGCGAGCGTTGATGATACTAGTAATAGTAGTAATATAGGCAATGTTGCCCTCATGAATTAATCCTTCATAAATTTTGAGCATACCGTTATTCTACATATTTTATTTCCTATCCTCATTAACATTTCTTCATTTCACTAACATTTTACTGTCATTCCAAGTTACGTAATTTTCGTCTTATGTATAGCACACAATGACCCAAATGACAAATAAATGCACCTATTATAAAATTATACTTTACCAAAGTATTCAAGTTTCTTTGTAACATTACGGATATCATTATTTTATTTATTTATTTTTTGAAACAATATTTTTGCCATTTTCATTTCTGTTACTATGGTGATGTGAGGCGTTTCAACTTAGTCTGAAAACTACAATTATGTCTAGCACCATGGAAATTTGAAAATGTAGGATACATTAGAAAACAAAGGAATGTAAGTATACTAAGTACTTAATGCATTAATCCTAACATGTAGATCATGGCTAGTGAGAGAGAAATAAGAGCACACTTTGGACTGATAAGAAGACTTAAGATCTGAACATTGCTGATGATTTCTAATGTTTAATGTCAGACAAACTCGAAGATCTACAGGCGAAAACCAACAAGTTGGCAGAAGAAGCAACCAACAACAAGAACCAATCACCTAAATAGGAAGAGTTTCAATGAGATCACTTCCTTCACTTATTTAAGCAGCATCATTCCAACTACAAGTGGTGCGGATGAGGATGTCAAACACACGGCCAGAAAAGCAAGAGAGACATTTGGTTATTCTGAAATCAGCTGCAGAAATCTGCTGCAATCAGCAGAGAAGATTCGGATTTTCAACACTACTATATATATATATATATATATATATATATATATATATATATATATATATATATATATATATATATATATATATATATTTCTCGCACTAATCAAGGCACTCTACTCGAATTCACAAGGCCGTGTAAGACCTTACGGAGGGTTGTTGTCTGAAGTCATGAAAATTGATAGTATTCGTCAGACACACCCACTGTCTCCATTTTTGTTTAATTTCATCAAATAATGGAATTTACCCTATCTGACTTCAGCAACTTAGGGATTGACTTGTTACCAACGAACAGTCCTGTTTACCTAGAGTATGCCGATTATATTGTCCTCCTAGACGAAGATACTGGCAATATGCGGAGTCTTTTGCACACCTTCAGCAAAAGTTTTAGTATGCTTGGTATGCCATTCACCCCTGCCAAATGTGCAATGGTGCTGAAGGGCTGGACTACACACCGAATCCTAGCTTAAAGATAGGGAGTGAAGTGGTGGGGCGTGTTGACCACTTCATCTATTTGGAAATTGCATCAGCCCTATCGGGGTGATTGCTGGCAAAACCTCAGCAAGGGGACAAAGGCTCGCGCAGCACTTGTTAACTTACCCAGTCTCTGGTGTAGACGTGACATCCGGTTATCGACCAAAGTAAATGTGTACTGCCCAGCAGCAGTTCACTCCATACTCTTTTATGTCTGTGGGATGTGGCCATTGAAACTGAAAGATTTAAGGAAGCCAGATGTCTTTGACTGAAGGTGCTTGCATTCTATATCCCCGGTCAAGTGGTATTATATGGTCAGTGATGTGTGAGTTAGGCATAGACTGCTACGCAAGGAAGGGAAGTCAATCAATGAGGTTGTGAAACTACACTGGGTGAGATGGCTAGGACGCGTGTTGCGCATTCCCAGCCAACTTCTTCCTAGTCGAGCAATGTTAGCTGACATAAGGTTGAATTGAAACATATTTAACAATAGTCAAACCGACACTTAGAATCAATCCATAAAGTATTTCACAGTTGGTTTGAGCCAACTGAAGAGGTGTAGACTTGTAAGTAAGGATATTCTGGATGCTGTGATAAATCAGAGCCTAGCAACTGGTGATGCTATGGCTGAAAACAGTTTACAACCGCGCAAATGTATCCACTCACTCTTTATGATTTCCCGAATTCACTAAACACTCACAGTTTTCCATCCTACTATTCTCTCCACCGTCTATTCCTGTTCATTACAGTTTTGTGAATCTCTTTTTCCTTTCTGTTTCCTACCTCTGTTTACTATACGGAGTGTGGCAACTTGAACTGCTTCGCTTCTGTGTAAAGTTCTACGTTGAAACTCAGTCAGTCAGTGGTGGAGTAACAGAAACCAGAATGAAATTCTAAATATTTTAATAATAAATTTCGTTCTACTGACAAGAAAGTAAAAATATTTTAAATGAAACGTAATTTTTTTATTTATGCATTAAGTTAGGAACTCAACGGATGCATTATTTATGAGCAGAAAACCAAATAAACTAAATCTAAAACATACATCTTCCACTTATACTTATCGTACAGCAGAAACCACATTGAAAACCTGAAAACTAGTGAACTTACTTGAGTTGAAGAAAGACGACCCTCACCACCCTGGTCAAAAGATGCCTGACGTGAAAGAAATGCAGAACGAGATGGGTTTGATGACGCTGTTGAATACTCGGGAGATGTTCGTGGTAGTTGACAACTAAATGTACTTGGCGAAGAACCATCAGATGACCTTATAGGTGCATACGTTCCAGTTGACGCACCTTTTGTAAATGGTGGATGAGCAGCATGATCACCAGATTTACTGGTTATTTCTACAAGAGAAGACGTAGATTTCAGAGCCCCAATTCTTCTGTTGGATTCTTTGTGATCCATTCTTACACACAATTGATTAAGATGTTTTAGACAGGCACAGAAGTCTTTTTCACCGTTAAAGCTATTAAAGACAAAAATGACCAAGTTATACACGTACACTAAACATTTCATATACATATTGACTAATAACAAAGTCACCGTGTCCCTCAATTGTCAACAATTAGTGGGATGGTATTGTGTGGAAAACAACAGTATATAAGCTGACCTTAATGTTGTTCAGAAGAGTTCGAAAAAAATATGGAGGTAAAAACTAAATGACGTAGACTAGAGTTGATATTAGTGTATTTGAAGCTGAACTTTACTAAAACCTAATAACACGTCTTTATAACTACTATTTCTTTTGATCTGTGGTGTTTTACGAATTCTATCGGTGAAAATAGAATGGAATTAAATGTTAATTTCCAAGACTTTTGTCAGATTGGGTCCAATTTATTTACAGATCCAAATGGTTTCAACAAGGTAATAAAATGTAATTATTGAGCAGCCATCATCGTACTACAACTCACAATATAAAAATCTATTCCCTGAAGCAAGTGTGGAACAACTCTTTTGTGGGCCAATTTCATAAAAACCACAAAACGCGCAGAATGCACTTGGCATTCAATCCAAACAATTCACTTTACGAACTAATGACTCCATCAAAGGAATAAATTTAATTTCAACACGAACACCTAACGTGTTCAACCGAGTTTGTAAACGTGTCTCCTTTAAACTCTCGGTTAGTCAATACTAAGTGCGGGTGAACATACAAACTGAAAATGTACACATAACGGTAGCTCTGTCGACTCAAGATAAAACAAAGAAAAATTAGTCATTTCATTTGTATATCAGCCACCAATATGAAGTCTTACTTGATGACTAAATCATCACAGGGTTATTCAGGTTTAAGCTACATTAAAACTCACATTTGTGGTTTCAAGGGGATTATTTTAAAATTTCCTGTCATGGCTAGTTATTCTATTAGTTGTCATCACAGAAAGATTAAATTCCAGCCAAGATATCGGATACCCAGTACAAACTATGTCTCAAATTTAGTAACATTTCTTTTCGTGCAATAACACAAAATTCAGTATATGAGGGAGTATTTAACCCCTGTATATGAAGAAACGACGCAGCATGTCATATTCAGGTATCTACAGATTGAGCATAAAAAATTCTAAGAAGATTTCCAGTCAGTACACAAAGACAGATTCAACTAACCTGAGTGATTATTCCCACGCATATCACTGAAAAATTATCTTTAGACACGGGCACCAAAGTATTCACACGATGCTAATTCATGAGACAATATTGTGAATAGATTCGCACATTTTTTAAGTAGACGTAAGGAAATGAGCAGTGAAACTAGGTAATAAGATTAAATTCACTTGGCAAAACAACCTACAGGATAACAACAAAAAAGATCTCAGAATAGCAGTAAAAATTAGGATATATTGCATAAAAAAGCAGTTAGTAAAAATAGGAAACTAAGTGAATAAATATAACGCTCCGATTCATGTTTAAAGCTAATCGACTACACAATACACTTGGGATAAATCCGACTGACATCTGTTTGCTCCAAGCTAGGCGCCTGTTTCAAGGTCACACAGTGAGTATCTTGTTACATGCTAAAACAAATAGAATGGCTAGTATGATACGTCCAACTATGTGGTATAAAAATAGAGATTACAAGATTTCCGCAGTTTGGATTCGTTGACATTGGGTAATTTTTATTGTAAATGAAGTAAATTAGTTATGTTTTCTTGACATTCCTCCTGTGTACATCTATTGATCTATCCAAAGATTGCCACCAAATGTTAAATAATAACTACGAATTTCCTGTAATTTCATATTACTTGATAACTACCAACTTACTGGTATCTGTGCTACAGGCCTTATGAGTGGCTGCGTGTCATGTTGTATTGAAGGTTGCTTTAGACTCACCTCAAGACAACCAACTCGTGCGGTATGCAAACAGATGGTGTCAATGTAGTTGAAGATTTAACGATCAATTCATAGTTGTTTGCTCAAACCCAACTTCCCCATATTTTTGCGGAGTCATCAATCCATCAGTCATCGTTTCATCAGTCGCTGTTCAGAAGGAAGATTGAAAAACTATCAGAAGTAATATCGTGACTTATTGTTGAAATATTTGTTCTTAGACCTTATTCTGTAAAAGCAGTATTGCTGGTTATTTGTTGGCGTTAGGATAAAGAATTCTTCAGTCGCCAAACAGCGCTTTGGTTTCTGCGTCGGTTAATACTAAGTGTTTCTGCAAATCTTCGAGGGACGGCGTGAGGCCCAGCGTAGCAAGAGCTGGGCATTAACGGTTTTTGAGACTTGACTGACAGTTTCTGACAGTTGGATAGTCTCCGTCCCTCTTTCCTGGTGCCGGACAAGTCTTCTTTGAACAAGCGTTATCTGGAACTTTCTGGAATTTTTGGTCAAGTTCAATGATGCCTGGTTCAAAGAAGGGACAGAAAGTCTTGGAAGCAAACAGGAAAGTAAGTCATGTGGACTTGTTTGTTACATGCAACGATGTGTTTGATGTTAAGCATGATATGGTTGATGTTAATGTTTCGCCGGCTAGGGATAATAGGAATATCAGGCTTCCTAAGTACGAACCTCGGTGTTTCGACGGAAACCCAGCTGACCATTTAGAGGAGTTTGAAATCATGTTGAGTAGGTTTTTTATTAAATGATGAAATGAATTTGATGTATTTGATGAGGTACAGCACTGGAGTTGCTTCAAGATCTATACAGTGCTGTAAGTTGATGCCCCCTAACGACGGATACTCTGAGGCTATAAGTATACTGCATCAAAGATTCGGAAGACCGATGATTGCAAGGAACGTATTCGAGGCTGTTAAAGGTAATGGTAGTCAATTACAAGATGACTCCAAGGCACTCACTGAGTTTTTGGATAATCTGTTGACTTACAAGAATACGTGCATTTCGACGAACTGCATGAGTGATCTGAACTCAAGTTCAGTCCTAGAGGTAATAGCGAGACGCCTACCTGTTCGACTGCAAAACAGTGGGTGAAGACAAGCTCTCGTATAGAGGATGAAGGTATTGAGCCAAAGTTTGATGTAATAGTAATAGTAATAATTTTTATTTTCATATAAACATAAATTTACATGAAAATGCATGCCATATTTACAGGCACGACCAAGTATGGCATAATGTCAAATCTTAAATTGTCTACAAGTTAATAGTGTTTCAACGGTTAAACATTTGATACATATATAATTACACTCATTGTCTGAACCAGGCCGTATAGTTATTCAATTGTACAGTTGTCCTCCAGGTTGAGCGGGAAAATCGACTTCGTTTCGTTTTCATCCCGTGGTTGTAGGCATATGATAACCAACCAGTATTGAGGTAAGTACAACGTTTACCAGGGATTGGAAGCTGTTTTAGAAAAGTTAAAGTGCTAATGTGAATCATTAAAGTGTAATAAATTAAGCAAGTGGAATATATCATTAATAAATACATTTATATAGAAAACAGAATGGGGAAGTAATTAATCCTTAGGCAGACAACGTTCATTTGCAATGTATAATAAAACCAATATATTTCGTACTATCATGATGTCCCCTTTTGGCTTTAATACAATTATTTTCAAGCCAGTTGTTTTTATTTCATGCCCTTTTGTCTATTTGGTGCACAACCGTACCCTTCAGAGAATAGGAATAGAACAAGTCGAATCGAATTCATAAAGAGCTATAAAATGTTAGGTTTAATGGAATATAATGAGGATCAAGTAAAGACGTTATTGGAAAATGAATGAGATAAGACATTGTGAAGTGGTATTTAAAGATCCGACAATGGACAGCAAGTTAGTTTATAAGATGCCCCATAAATCTGTGCAGATCCCGAGTGGTCGCGTCTCAACAATAGGCTGAGCGAATGGTATATTTAAAGGTAGAAGCATGATCTGTCTAGGCGTTCATTATTATCTTTTTCAAGATAAAGATCTAAGCCCTCATAAAAATCAGAAATATCTCGAGCCTTTAATTTGTATATTGCTGTTCCTGCAGAATGGGGCGATCCACCTTAGTGACCACCACCATATCTACTGATCAGCTAGCACCACTCTCCCTCCTTCGGAGATAATATTCTGAAACTGGTAAAAGATAAAGTCAATCAATCTATGAGCAAGTTTGCCAGTATATTGCATCCCAACTATAGAATAGAGCAGTCTGAGAGCAAGACGCAACCATTTATGACGGGAGCGTCTCAGAGAAGCGGATATCGAGAAAGCTTTACGGCGTCTAGTAATCCAGATAAACTTAGTGAGTGTAACAGCTTTCGTAAAACATCCCCAATCGATAGGTTACAAGTTGCGAGAAGAACACGGCTGTAATTTACACGTTTGCAAGAAGTGCACACAAAGGCAGACTGTGAATCAGTGAGCAAGTTCAGTGATAAGCTAAATGTAAACTCCAGGCCTGACTCCGAATTGTGTGACGATAACGGTGCGGTCAAGAAGTCTGTAGTTGCAACTGGTAAGCCATTGTTGAATGGAGTGTCACAGAATAGAGTTGCTGCTTCAGAGTGCAGCTCTGACTCCACAAGTTTACAAGGTATTACTAGTCAGAGTGTAGGTATAAAACCTTTGAGGATTTGCGAGGAGGAACCAAAATTGTCTACTTCTGTTATTAAAGAGTATGAAAATGATGAAGTCGACCAGATAGATGACAGTAAAGTGAATATATTTGACAATGATCATGAAAGAGCACTTTTGTATTTGGTTGATCATGATGAGATGAGGGGAATGCCTACTACTACTGAGTTGGACGAAGGTTCCGTGCAACTTAAACGTGAAGGAGATTTAAGAGTAGATGCGGTGGTAGAAGGTATGGATACTCGTGAGGCAGTCAGTATAAATGATCAGAGTGTGGCCCACCTATCAACGGATGTTAATGCTAAACCTGAGCTAATAATAAAAGACAGCAGTGGTGGTTATCCTACTGTTAGAATAACTTCTGAAGGTCGAACAACAACAGCTTCTGATGCACCGCTAAGTTCATCAACTGGTATCACTCAATCGTCGTTAGTGTTGTCATCCACAATGAAATGGATGTCCATGAACTCACGTGTCTCATGCTATGACTATACTAGTATCAGTCCGTTTGAAAGGACGAAAGTCAATGGTCAGTTTAGTGAGGAGAAGCCAAATGTGTATGAGAGGGTAACTGCTAAGCTGACTTGCACTAATAAAGGCCTTTCAAGTTTCAAGTTGCTATTTGAGTGTTATTGTCGTTGGTGTAAATTACTTTGTACCTACGCTTGGTTGGTCAGGTACGTCGTATGTTTGTTAGTCATCTACATTCCACGATACAATGTCTTGGGTGCGTAGTCATTCAGACTTGAGGATATAGATGATAGAAGGAGGTCAGCAAATGAACTCTGCGACGATTTTCCAAATTAAAGGCGTCAACCTAAGAAGGGTTGTAGGCGTACTGCTGTAAGTCCTACTGTTCTTCAAGGGTAGTTCGTCAAGGCAGAATCCACGACATTGGAGGTATTGATTGTACATATGTATGTGTTGAGTAACTGAGTGGGTTCCAATTAATGTAATTGCTGGTTAATTTTGGTTGTGTCCGGACATTCTTCAGCCTACAATGGTCAACCTGATAAAGGTTGCAGGTGTGCTGGTGTAAGTCCTGCGATTCTTCAAAGGAATTACATCGAGACATGATCTGCGAGGTTATGTGTACTGTTTGTATATGTGTGGTGTGTCGTATCAATTGGTGTTTTTGGAATCGCTGTGTTTACTTGTTGTTTTCGTACCTTGTTCTTATGCATAATTTTGTTAAAATTTTCGTCGTGCTTACTTCTGAAGTTGCTTCTAGCCTTCCACATCCGTGAATGAATTGATCGATTTTAAAGGCAGCAGGTGGATCGTATACGCCGGGGAGGCTATTGCTGAGAATGACACGCACACTGATGTAGTGATTTACTGTGATCCCACAAGCCGGGGAGCGGGAGTGTAGACGACTGAGGCTTGCACACGTCACCGTTACTAGAATTGGGGCAGAATGAGTGTGATTATGCTGTGGGCATACCTGTGGTGTGTTGGCTCTGCTGTCTGTTTTCCATTTCAGCTTTGTCCGTGTGACCCAGGTCCTCGCACTGGTACCGAAGTCAACGTGTATTGGTCGTGATGGAAAAAAGAATGGATCCGTTTTTTGCTGGGGAGCGTCAATGTAGTTGGAGATTTTTTGTTGTTTGCTCAAACCAAAACCTATATTTTTCGCGGGCGTCATCAATACGGCAGTCATCATCTCATCGTTTGCTTTTCTTTGGAAGAGAGAAAACTATCAGAATTATTATTGTGATTTATTGTTATAACATTTATTCTTAGACCTTGTGTGTAATAACCTTATTGTGGGTTGCATATTGGCGTAAGAATAAAGGATTTTCGAGTCGCCAATTTGTGTTCTGGTTTTCGTGTTGGTTAATGTAAATTGTTTCTGAAAGTCTTCCAGGGACAGCGTGAGATCCAGCGTAGTAAGAGCTGGACATTGACAGTTTCTTAGAGTTGGCTGACAGCTACTGTGATTTCAAAACTTTCATTCATATTTAAATGTGTATGTT